AGAGGAGATTTATATGAAGCTTCCTTCTGGTTTAACCGTTACCTCTCCTAATGATGTCTGTAAGCTCAGGCGGTCTTTGTATGGGCTCAAACAGGCCCCTCGGGCGTGGTTTGAAAAATTTCGGGGCACACTACTTACATTCGACTTTACTCAAAGTCAGTTTGATTCTTCTCTCTTCTTCCACAGGTCTGCAGCGGGTGTCGTTCTCCTTTTGGTGTATGTGGATGATATCATCATCACTGGTACTGACTGTGGTATGATTACTACACTTCAGACTATGTTGCATGCCACTTTCCATATGAAAGACCTGGGTCGACTCACTTACTTTTTAGGGCTGGAAGTTCATCATCGGGACAATGGCATTTTCTTAAACCAGCATAAGTATACTCAAGACCTTATCACTTTAGCTGGGTTGGAGGATACCTCTTCGGTTGATACTCCTATGGAGGTAAATGTGAAACTCAGGAAAGATGAAGGGGATCCCCTGGATGATCCTACTCTCTATCGTCGCTTGGTTGGGAGCCTTATCTATTTGACTACTACTCGACCGGATATCTCATATGCCGTCCATCAGGTTAGCCAGTTCATGTCTTCTCCTCGGCATCTTCATCTTGCTGCAGTTCGCCGCATTATTCGCTATCTTCGCGGTTCCCCTTCTCGTGGGTTGTTCTTTCCTACTGGATCATCTCTACAGCTTGTCGCTTACAGTGATGCTGATTGGGCTGGATGCCCAGATACGCGCCGTTCTACTACGGGTTGGACTATGTTTTTTGGTGATGCTTTAATCTCTTGGAAATGTAAGAAACAGGATCGTGTATCTAAGTCATCTACCGAGGCTGAGTACCGTGCAATGTCTATGGCTTGCTCAGAAATTATTTGGTTACGAGGTATTCTGGAGGAACTGGGTTTTCCTCAACTTAACTCTACTCCTCTTCATGCTGATAACACAAGTGCTATCCAAATTGCCAATAATCCTGTCTTTCATGAACGCACCAAACACATTGAGGTTGATTGTCATTTTATCCGTGATACATTGGAGGATCGGGTTATATCTCTTCCTTACATTTCCTCTGATCTTCAAGTGGCCGATATCTTCACCAAAGCGTTGACTCGACAACGGCATCAATTTTTTGTTGGCAAATTGTTGCTGGTTGACTTCCCCGCATCAATTTGAGGGGGGGTGTTACCATATATAATTTGTGATTGATTATTTTCTATAATTATCTCTTTGTAATATTTAGGGATTGTATAGCATATATATCATAGTTTCCTTGTAAAGCGAGGGACTGACCAGTATATACATTGAGTAGAAGATAGAACGGGAGTAGCGAGTTTTTCCAAAAATCATATCAATTCTCTCTCGATTTCTGAGTTAATCTAACACCTCAATCCACACAACATACCGAATGCACAAGCAAGGATCAAGGGGAATCGGCACAATTGCAAGACCAATTGCATAATTACAGTACCAATTGCAGTATAAATAAAGGGAATAATCACGTTACCAGCATACAGAAATTGGGAGAGTCCTTGGGAGATTGTGGGCCTCTCGAATGCCCATTAATCTTGTTATTATTATTATTATTTTTTTGAATAAAGTTTTCGCTTCCCTGATCGCAGGTTCGTTCCTCTTGTAATCATTGCTTAAATTCTCATAATAAAACTCTTATTCTATTTTGGATATATCAATCACCTTGCCTTAAACCCCTTTTACCTTTGATGAAACCATTTAAGCTTCCATTAAGAGCAATAGAGTAAGAGGTGTAGAAATACATACCATCACCCCCAAATGAAAATGAATCTCGCTGGAAAACCCAGTCCTTCCAAAACTGATTTAATAAAGCTCCAATCGATGGAATCATAAGCCTTTGTTAGATCAATCTTAAGAAGACATCTAGGTGATGTTCTCTTCCTGTTGTATTGCCTCAACAATTCCTGTGCAAGGTGAACATTTTCTATCAAACTCCTTCCCTTCACAAATGCGGATTCTGACTGATCAATTATGGAAACAAGGATTGGTGCCAATCTGTTAGACAAAATTTTAGCGATGACCTTATATACAACATTACAGCTTGAAATGGGTCTAAATTCACCAACTGTGGAAGTGTGGCTGCCTTTAGGGATCAAGGCGATAATGTTGTGATTTATCGGTTTAAGGAGTGTACAGTACTGGAAAAAATTTGCAATAGCTTCCATAAAATCACCTCCTACCGTGTCCCAAGCCTTTTTAAAGAAGCATGAGGTATATCCGTCGGATCCCGGCGATTTGTGTAGAGATATCCATATCAAGAGCGTTAGCTGGGTTCAAAGAGAGTAGCGGCCCCTCCCCAAATGTGATAGGATCAATAGGTTCACAAGTGAAATTCGTGCCCAACAATCTGTGATAAAAACCAACAAATTCACTAGCCACTTCTTCTTGTGAATTCGTGAGGCTTCCATCTTCCTTCTTAAATGTCGCAATGAAATTCCGTTTCGCATTCCTCCTCACCATTGAGTGAAAAAATTTTGTGCACTTATCACTTTTCTTCAGATAATCACATTTTGCTCATTGATAGCAGAACTTCTTTCCGCTTCACAAATATCCATCCTTTCCTTCCGTAACCTCGCAACATTTCTTTGCAAATCCAGTTTGTACAGCGGATCTTGCAGCTCCAATTGAGCTGCCTTAAGTTCCATTTTTAACCCGTCCACCCTGGCCGAAATGTGTCTAAATTCCCTTTGATTGAGTTGCTTCAGAATTCTCTTCAACCTTTGTAATTTCTTACAAAGAATAAACTGTTTTGTACCTTGAATCTGCTGGTTCCAATTTGTTGCAACCTGATTTTTAAAATCAGCATGATCTGCCCACATATTAAAGAATTTGAAATGTTTGCCTTTCGCCCCATCATGTTGGAAGAGAGACACAATAAAGGGTGGGTGATTCAAAAGGCACTCCACCAGTTGAAAATCCGCCGTGAAAACCCGCTTGTAACCATATTTCATTACCATATCACTATCAATCTTACTTCACACCGAAGTATGCTTCCTTGTGAATTTTCAGTCCATGTATAAAAACATCCAATGGACCTTAAATCCACAAAGTCTTTGATTTCATTCAGGGTCACTTCCGCTCCGTTACATTTTTCATCATATCTTAGGACATTGTTAAAATCTCCCAAGATCAACCAAGGACTCGTGCAAGCCGCACCGAAATCTAATATATACACTCCAAAGGGGTCTCCAAGTAACAATAGAATGAAATGCATAAACAAAGCTAACACAAGTTGATATGGATGTTACCTTGCAATTAACATAGCAATGCATCACTTGAGGATTTGTTTCCAAAACTTGAAGATCCACTTTTGAAGGATTCCGACCAAGATTCTGCCAGCCGAGTGCGAGAGAAAATTATCCACTTGCCTCCATCCACCAAATTTATTCCCATGATCCGGCCCATCTTTACTTGGTTGACTTTCGTCTCCAAAACTCCAAAAATATCAATATATCAATAAATTGCTGCTTTATGAGGTGATGTACCCCATTTTGTTTCAGGGTCACATTGAACCCCCTGATGTTCCAAAATGCGACCTTCATGATGATATTCGAAGGGTGTTTCCCTTCTTTATATCCTTCCTAATAGCTGCAATTGTTAAATCATCCAATTTGCCTTTAAGCTTCTCATTTGAAGCAACTTTCGTATTGACTTTGTTGATTGCGTTTGCCATTTTCTGTCTTTCGCTGTTCGTCCCAGTTTGGTTAATGTTTCGTTTCTGGTTTCTGCTGACTACCGTGAACTGATTTTCCACATTGTCCCCCTCATTCTGTAGCTGGCCTTCATCATTCTCCCCGCCCTCTGCATTTTTAGCTGTTTTAATGACAGCCGTGTTCTGCTGAATTACGGTAGTAGCGGCCTGGATATTGGCTGAGTTCTGCTGATTTTCAGCAATAATGGTCTGTGCTTTGTCATTGGTCATCGTAGTTTTCCTTTGCGCAGCTTCTTTGCTAGTCGCAGGCTGCGTGTTAACGTTGCATCCGGCTGTCAAATGTCCAGACATTTTACATGTAGCACAAAACTTCGGTATATGTTCGTAAACAACCTCTTGGTTCCGAGACTTCCTGGTTGGCAATTTCATATGGATTGTTTGCACTAGCTCCTTCGACACATCAACTTCCACCAAAACTCTTGCATATGAAAGTCTCTCTTTGGTTGATGTGAGTTTATAGGTCGAGATGGGCTTCCCCACTTTGGATGCAATCTTACCAAGACATTCGAGTTCCACAAATCCAAAGGCAACCCGGGTAACTTGATCCAAATCGGTAAGGTGCTAATTTCACTCTCATCAAATTCAAAACAATGTGGCATAGTTTTGAGCATAAGTCCCCTCCCAAAGACAAAGTAAATTCCGCCGTGTAGTACGCTAGCCCTTGATGCTTCATTTGCAAAAATAAGCCAGCCGCTAGAATGAACAATGTACCGATACTCCACCTTCCAAGTGTTTCATAACCGAAGTAAGGCTGCCTTAACTGGAAAACGGCCTGCAAAATAGCCCACCAGGCAGTATCCCCACAGAGACCCAGCCTTTATCTCCTTACACTGCATTAGTGTTCGCTTATTTAAGTTCCCATTTTTAGATTCAGAATCACTAATATACCCAATGATTTGATGCTTACATTTATGAAGACTTGAAACCATCTAGCTCTCCCACTCCAACACCGAGTAGTTCCAAAGAGAAACCTTCTAGTGCCCTGACTTTGGCAGATACGGCACCAGAGATTAGCAGGGGAAATGATGTTGCTAAGAGTAGAAGTACCTCTGATATTGCTTTGGATCTCTCACCATACCCTGTGTGAGTTCATGATGGATTTTTTTTTTTTAAAAGTTGACATATTAGTGTTGTCTCTACTCTGAAAAATATTATAGCGTGATATTTAGGGCTTCTTAACATTATATTTCTGATATGATTATTTAATTTGTTTAACAAGGCTGAAATATTTGATACGGACAACATTTTATTTGTCAGGTATGAGGACCTCAAGCCCCCTTCATCACCATCTCCTAATGTGCCAACAATATCAGTGAACAATGTATCTGAGGATCTTGCTGAGGACAACTCAGGGAATGTTAATGAACATACTGAATCAAAACCGAGACCCCTCTCACCTTATGTAATGTAAGTCCATTTCTCGTCACTGGTGTTTGTGGTACGTCTGATAAGGAGGATTAAATTGTACTAGACAACATTAAGAAATAAAAAGAAGTTATAATCTTGCCAATTTTATTGTCAAGTCCTATTTAGTATTATGCACCATACATGCTCGAGTTTTTAATTTTGCATGTATATCTAGGTGAAAATACCCACACATCTTGTTCCATATGAACTGATGGTTTTACTTCATCTCTGTTCTAATGTAGGTATGAGGACTTGAAGCCGCCAAGTTCGCCTATACCTTCAAAGCCTTGAACATGAATAAAGCTACTAGACAGCCAGATACGAAGCCCATTGAAGGAAGTATCCATAAGTGTAACTAAATCAGAGCGAATACACTTATGTTTCATAAAAAAACATAAAAAAATACATGAGATTTGAGCAATTCAAAAGGACGGATTTTTTTCCAAAGCATGAACATATTGCTTTTTGTCATTTTGGATGTGTAATTCTAGTAATTTTTGTTGATCTATGTAGATACCTTTCATATTGTGCCTGAAAGTCATAAACTTACATTCTGATCCTCTTTTAAATATATGCAATAAAATATAATAAATTTTGTTTCCATCCCGTTTTAAATTTTAGCCATGAAGGTTGGGGCCAATGTTTTGGAAAAAGTCTTATCATTTATTAGTACTGAATTTAGATAATTTTGGACAGGCCTTTAGATTCAAGATTTTCTGCATATATAGCAAAATCTAAATTTCTGTAATTATATTGAACTCCGCTATCTAGAGAAGCTTAGACTGTTGAATGAGAGAGAATTTGTTTATCAGAATTTTAGTTCTCAAAACATGTCCTCATGTGTAGACTTAAAAAATTTGGGTTGCCTAATGTGTGTACAAATTTTACAGGTGCGTGGCGACTAGACTTTAATAGATGATCTTTACTTGCTCCGATATTATTTTCAACTTATTTTTAAAGCTTAAGTCGTAAAGAGGTGTGTCTTCAACTTGATCTTACATTTCTATATTACTAAATGTTGGAAGAAAACGAGTTGTCCATGTGGGTTAACCCGACCCGGTTTGCATGGAAATGGGTTTTGGAGGGAGGACTTAAAAAATTGAATTTAAAAGTTAACCTCCCCACCTCCAATAACTCCCATCAACTTCCATTATTCAACCTTCTAAAGAAAGAACAAAAAGAATTCGGGTTTTATTCAAGGGGTAAAAAGAAATGAGGGTGAATGCTTGATTTTTGGAGGATGACATTTCAAATTGGGTTCTTGGATTGTGGCTATCAAATTCCTTCCATTGTGATCGAATTTCTGACCAAGAGGTGGGTACAAGATGGTGTGGAAAGTAAGCGAATCAAAGGCAAGTAATTCAACATCGATTTTGTGATTTCAAGTAAGTATTACTACTTGAAACTCAGTTATATACATGCAAGCACATTTTACATTTGTATCAGAGCCTAAGTATGTTGTTTCTTTGCTTAAACACATGCTGAAAATGTCCTTGAATGGTTGAAATGCATAAATTTCGGTTTTCTTTTAAAGCTTGAATGTCGTTAATGACAACTTTTCATGTGCTTCATAAGAATTCATGAAATTTATACTGTATGTTCATGATATTATGGAGAACATATCTGAAAAATTTCACTTCATTTGGATTTGTATTTTGGGAGAAAAATCGAACCCTAGTTGAGAAAATCGAAACTTCATTGCATGATAATTTCTTGCACGTTAAGTTTCACCCCATTTTATATGGTTGGATAGATTTTCTCGAGACCTTTCCAATGATATAAAGAATATAAATTTTGGCATTAAATTGAAGAAGCTATGGCCTTTCGAATTTCAACAGAAATCTGAAAAAAATTGGACGATGAGCAGTAACAAAAAAAAAATAAATTTGAAACTGTTGCAGTGGAGTGGGATTCATATTTTGAAAATTGCATGCTGGTCCCTCAATTATTGTAGATGTAATTTGAGAATTTTCATGTTAGTCCCCATACTTTTAAATATTTCCAAACGTAATTGAAAAAACTGCATGGTAGTCCCCACATTTTTGAATGTTAATTCTTTCAAATGCAATTTGAGAAATTGCAAGTTAGTCCCCAGGCTTTTGAATGTTTTCAAATGTAGTTTGAAAAATTGCATGTTGGTCCCCAACTTTTTTGAATGTTGATTATTCCAAATGCAATTTGAGAAATTGCATATTAGTTACCACACTTTTGAATGTTTTCAAATGCAATTTGAAAATTTGCATGTTGGTCCCAAAACTATTTTTGGGTGTTGTTTATTCTAATACCAATTTGAAAATTTGAAAAGCTGTATATTGGTCCTAAAATTATTTTCTTTCGAAAGTTGATTATTCGATATTCAATTTAAAATATTATAAATTGGTCATGCATATGAGGATCCATGCGAGACCTGACTTCAATTCTGAAAATTACAACTTGGTCCTTCAGATATTCTTGATTTTTGTGTGCAATTAAAATTAATTTTCAGATGATCAAAAATATTTTTTTGGACTCAATTAAATTCTGAAATTTTTTATAAAGGTCAAGAATATTTGTTAAGTGGTATTTGCCCAGTGGGAATTACTTTTTTTAAGTGTTTCATTTTTTTTTAAATGAAAAATACTCCGCATGTATTTAAAATACCACTTTTTATATACGTTCACGAGTTGTGTGGGTTTTGATTAGATTATGTGATCCATTGTGACTTGTTTCGAATTTTGTGTATATATTATTGCATCTATGCACATTTATATCATCTTTAGAGGGAATGTTAGAGAAATAAGGGTTATAGAACTTGTTAAAAAGTTATGTGTTACTATAATTAAAAAAAAAAATACATGAATCTGAAACATAACCTAGCGGAATACGTGAATCTTTTTGGGGACATTTTTGGTGATAAGCAGAATATGAAAATTCTGATGTCACTTCCCATTTGTTGGGATTGTGTTGCAATTGATATTAAAGCGTGGTTGATAATCATGATATGTTATAATTGCACATTATGAAATTACATTATTAGATAAATGTGCATATTTATGGAAATACATGATATCCATTAACTCGTGTATTATTATAAATGATAAGGTCCGTAGAATTAGAGAGATTTTTACTTAGACCTATTGATTGTCAGTTGAGTGATAGTTTGATGATTGGAAGATTTAGAGAAAATCTCACCAAGAACTATCTGATTCACCAACTGAGCGGGGTTTTGAAGTTGGAAGAATTAATGCAGTTCTCATTTGGAACCCATGAAATTTTGTATTATTATATTAAGTTTATGATAGTGAAACAATAGGATTGCGGACGAGGATTGCGAACATAGTGAACTTTTGATTTTGTGCCTAACGTTGAACTATTGTAGACGGTAATTTGCGTTAATTCAAAATTAAATATGTGCATAAATGGGCATTGATTAAGAATAACATGTCTCTAAAAATTTGATAGATTATCACATCAAAATCTATAGAAGTTATCCTTAATAAATTTGATAAACTAAATGCGATTACATTTGGCATGATAAGATTTTAAATGTACTAGAAAGACATGATGCTTTAGAGAACATCAATCACGTAATAGAAGATCTTATGTAGGTCATACTATTCAAGAGAATAAAGATCAAAACGTTGTCGAGTATGGAAAACATGTGGATTTTAGTACTCGCGCATTTAAAATTGTTAAGTTTGTTATAAAAGTGAAGAAAAGAGAAGAGAATAGAGAGAAGTCAATAGACTTGTGTGTTTTATTAAGAATCAAAACCCTATATTTATAGGGTAGAATTAGGGATACAATAGTAATTATTTCTAAGGCTGCAAGAGTGCAATTGTCATTCACCTCTAAATCCTAATAATCTTTCATTTTACAACACTCTCCATTGTATGACACATTACAAAATATCTGCCTCGTTAAAACCTTGTTTAATAAAAATTCAATGGGAAAAAAATCAAAAGAATGAAAAAGAGTACAGTTATTTTGGAGTACTAAAAATAAATGCTGCCTCATTAAAACCTTGCTAGAAAAATCCAGTGGGACAAAATCTAAGTTAAGGAAAAAGAGTACAGCTACTCCCCCTGATGTTGATCAATGAAAATCTTTGAGTTGACGCATTCCAATCTCATGAACTAATTTCTTGAATGTAGATGTTGGCAGTACTTTTGTAAATAAATCGACCACATTGTCACTTGAGTGAATTTGTTGGATATCGATATCGCCATTCTTTTGAAACTCATGTGTATGAAAGAATTTTGGAGAAATATGCTTCGTCCTATCATCTTTGATATAGCCTCCTCTGAGTCATGCAATACAAGCTGCATTGTCTTCATACAAAATGTTGGACTATCCTTTGTTGAAATTAATCCGTATGATGCTTAGACATGATGAGTCATGTTTCTCAACCATAGAGATTCTCAATCTGCTTCATGGATTGCAATAATTTCAGAATGATTTGAAGATGTAGTTGTCAAGGATTGCTTCACAGATCTCTATGATATAGCCGTTCCTCCACGTGTAAACACATAACCTGTTTGTGATTTAGCTTTATGTGGGTCAGATAGATAACCTGCATCTGCATATCCCACTAAAGCAGATCCCGACTTTTGAGAATAAAATAATCTCAAATCAATAGTACACTTTAGGTAACGAAAAATACGTTTAACACCATACCAATATCTTTGAGTTGGTGTAGAGCTATATTTTGCAAGGAGATTTACAGAAAAAGTTATGTCGGGTCGAGTGCAATTTGCAAGATAAGTTAATGCTCCAATTGCACTAAAATATGGTACTTCAAGAACAATAACTTTTTTTTTCATTTTCAAGTGGACGAAATGAATCTTTTTTCATATCAAGTGATCGAATAACCATAGGTGATGCCAATGGATGTGCATTATCCATGTAAAAACGTTTTAAAACTTTTTCTGTATACGTAAATTGGTGAACAAATAATTCATCTGCGAAATGTTCAATCTACAATCCAAGACAAAATTTAATTTTTCCCAAATCCTTCACTCAAATTTATTTTTCAAATAATCAGCAGTTTTGTTGAGTTCTTCAGGAGTTCCAATTAAATTTAAATCATCAATATAAACTGCCAAAATTGCAAATCCACTATTTGTTTTCTTTATGAAAACACATGGGCAGATATCGTCATTTTTATAACCCTCATTCAACAAATATTCGCTAAGGCGATTATATCACATACGTCCGGATTGTTTTAATCCATATAATTATTTTTGCAATTTAATTGAGAACATAGTTCTCGAGCATGCATCGTTTGTTCCTAGTCTTAAGTCCTTCGGGGACTTTCATATATATGTCACTATTAAGTAAACCATACAAATATGCAGTTCTACATCCACAAGGTGCATATCAAGCTTTTGTGATACGGTCAAACTAATTAAGAATCTAAAAGTGATGGTGTCCATTACAGGAGAATATGTTTCCTCATAATCAATTTCTGATTTTTGTAAAAAATCTTGAGCTACTAGTCGGGTTTTGTACCTTGTGATTTCATTATTTTCATTTCTCTTTCGTACAAAGACTCATTTGTATCCAACATGGATTA